GTGCCTTGTCGGCGGCGCTCCGCCGACTGAGCTCGCTTGGCCGAAGGCGTCGGCGTCGGCGTCGGCGTCTGCTTCGTTCTCGTGGAATTCAGCGTCCTGGTTACCAACGGCGAGTGGCATCTTCTCGGAGGAGACGAAACGGAGGAAGACGAAGACGAAGAAGAAGACATGTAACGAGAAGTAACCTCTCGTGCTTTGGGCCTGCGTGGAGGCCCAAGCGCATTGTCCGATTCAGAAGGTAACAGAGGAGTCCTCCTGGGAGTTGGCGTCTGAGCTCGCTTGGGGTTTATCGCCATTGAAATTTCAGCTACCATTGCTAATATTATTATTATTCTCAAATTCCAATTGCAATATTACTCTTTCATAGTAATCAACAATAATCAATTCGAAACTCGAGAATCGAAATCGGAAGCGAGGATGCAGAGAATAAACGAGAGGGGAGTGCGTGTTGGAAGGTTGAAAATGGGAACGGAAATGTGACCGTTACGATTTGCCGGGGCTTGACCGAGTAAGGAGTGTAACTGTCGAAGCAGTGGAATCACACGCTGCGCGATTGTGCATCAGTTGGGGAAATTAACGCCAAAATTAGAAGGAGCGAGCACAGCCACCACTAGAGTGATGGTGACACTGTGGCACACGTACGCGCGGTGTTGGGGAGAATAAATGCACTCGCCGTGACTCCAGGGTAGTTTCGTAAATGCACTACGGTTTACGTCACGTTGCGGTGCTTTCGTGGAGCTAGAGGTTTATTTTTAATTTTTCTTAATTTTGATAAAATAAATATATAGTAAACGGATGAAAACGACATGGGGGAGAGTGAGCGAGGAGGAGTATGACTGTGTAAACTGTAAAGTACGAAGTTGGAATTGGATATTTGCGTTTCGCCCAGGGAATGAATCTTCGGAGAGACGTTACGCAAACGACACTGCTCAATTTTTATAATGGGAAAAATTATATTAGTAGCCGTTTCCTTTTCAGCGTATGGTAATGGACCAAGGTACAAAAGTTCGGATGAACTTAGTAGCCACTTATCAATCACTATATAATTAATTCAGTTTTGGAGGTACCAAGGTTGCTTTAACTTTTCAGTTTTTTTAACCCTTTATGTACTTTCACCTTGGATGGACACATGAAGGCCAAAATCCAACTACTGTATTCCAACTTTTTTAATGATATTTTAATTTTATACATGATGAAAAAAATTAGTACAATGATGTAGTATTTCAGAAAAGTAATTCCTTCGTGTAAATAGGATAATTTTTATCCATGAAAATTATCACGATGGCAACAAATTTTTCACCTAAAACACTATTTTAATACCTTACAACTAAGATAATTCAAATGGTTCATGTTAATAGGATATGAAAAAGTATATAATTTAACATATAGTATGAACATATGTTACCATTTAATAGTCGATGTTTATTATCTTTTAATGTCAATGATGAATAGTAGGAGTGGTTACATAGTTTTCTTCGTTGTTATTGAATAATTTTTTAAAATAAAACTTGATCGCATATTTAGATATTAGATTTATAAATTGATATTTTAATATTATTAAATATATATTACTTATGCAATATATAAATATGACATAATATGTCAATAATAAAAAATAAAATATTGTTGATAAAGAAAAGATAATATTTAATTGTGTAACATTTCATATATAACAAAGATTGAAGTAATAATAATAATAAATAAATAAACTCTATTCTAAGATGGAACTTAAAATATATTGATATCGAAATATTTGAAGTAAGACCCGAAGAGATTATTTATATAAATATTGAGGAACTAAAGTAATCTAGTTCAAACTTTCAATATTAGAATGAGTGTAAGATGAAAATTTTCACTTAATTATAAGTTAAATATTTTTTTCATCTTTATGATAAATCACTTCATCTCCTAATTTATCTTTGTATTTATATAGAACAAATCAAAATTTCAATATAAAAGTGTCCAACTATCCATTTTCTTTCATATCATAAAATTCTCATATATTGTCACATTCGTTAACTAAAAAAAATTCTTCTTTATGAAAATTTCAAATACATTTCTTACAAGATTATCCAATTTTACTTTTTTTCTCAATTTCATGGAAGAATATAACAAAAAAGGAAATTAATTTTCCCTTGCATACAAAAACCAATCAAGATAAAGAAATGAAAATCCACCTAATAATAAAAGCATGGATAACAAAAAAGTACAAATTTAAATTTTAACTTCACTCGTACACATAAAAAAAATTATAATAATAATTTATTATTTTGATGTCAGTGATAGTGTCTATCTTCATGAGTGCCATAAGCACAATCATCTTCTATCTAACATCTAAGACATAAGATGTAAAACTATTAACAAAGTATGTTAATATATAATTGAACATCGTTCAAATAAAATTAAACATCAAAGAATAATGAACGTGTCTCAAAGACACATATTAATACACAAATGACCTCAAACATTTAAAAAAAAAAAAAAAGTTAGGAAAGTTGTGTATAATTCAAATTTGCAAATACTCTAAATGAATAACATATAATTCAAATTTATTTGGTCTCAAAATAAATAAATAATGAAGAGAAGGAAGAAGCAAATATAAAGACTTGTTTTACTAAGATCTTGAATGAAATTAGTTTATAATATTAATTATATATAAAATGAATATAAGATGAAGAGGCAAAATTTGTACCAGTGGAATTTTCCATATTTCTAAATTATGAAATTATGACAGCTAATGTCTTACTGTTCGTCTAATAAAAAATATTTTTTCTTTAAAAAACTTTTATTTGTTATCATTAAAACATGAAAACTTGAAAAATTTAAAATTATTTTTTGACTTAACATTTATAGAAGCGTTTATGTTCTTCATTTCTTCTAAATTCTTAAATGCACATTTCATAAAATAAAATAACTTAAACAAATATTAGTCTCTCAAAAATCATTTTATTATCATTAAAACTGGAGCAACATAATCTCTATTAGTTTAGGTGAAAAAGTATAGTTAAAGGACTTCTTCACATGTTAATAGAATATGAAAAGGTATATAATTAATGATTGAGCAAAAAAACTTAATATATAGTAAGAGGATATGTTACCATTCAGTCATTTATTCATTGATGTTTATTGTCTTTTAATGACAATAATGAGTAGCAATAATGGTTACATAGTTCTCTTTGTCGTTGCTTAATAATTTTTAGTATAAAACTTAACCTGATATTTAGATATTATTTGCCTGGTGTAGGAAATTAAAATACAATGTTTGAGTCCTATTTGGTGCAAATTAAAATTAAAATTTTATTTTGACAATTTTTTATAGCTATTTAATAATATTGATTTTATTACATGAATTATTAAAATAAAATCATGATTGTAATTATAAAATAATATTTTTGTTTCAATATTATGTTTAACTTTTCTTCTTTCAAATTTTTTTTTAAAAACTACTCCATTAAAAGCTAATTATTAACCAGCTAAGAGATAAAACAATTAACAAGCTAAGAGATAAAACAAAGTAGAAGATGAATTGATAACCATATATTTTGTTAATGATTATATATGAGAATACAGTGGCTTCTATATATTAATTACCGAAGTGGATGTAAAACTTTCCCTCATTCCTGTTTGTTTCTTTGTCCATTAGTTGCTATGGTGAGCACAATTTAAAGATTAATTTTTTTTAATTACTGCCTTAAAAACTTTACAGCAGCAATTATTTTGTCTTATTGACTTTAACTAAAATAAATAACTTATATATACTATTTATAAAAGTTTAGTATTAAGTATTTCGTTTTATTTTGTCTTATTGAGCAGGGAGCCTTATGTAAGACAAAATAATTACATATTTCTATCAAAATTTTAAAAACTGTCGAATATATTTGTCTTATATTTTAATTTTATAGCTTCATATTGCATTAATAAAACTTTAAATCACTAGTGGTTAAAATATTACAAAATTGATTGTTTTAAGTTTACAAAATTGATTGTATAATCAATTTATTTTTGTCGATATTATAGTAAGATACTTTTAAAATTGATTTTTTTACTAATTTTAAAATCCACACCCCAACCTCACCGTATAATCAACATATGAGCATGAATTCATAAAATAGCTTGAATATTATTATAGTTTTTATAGAATACTTCTAATCGTAAATCATAAATTCAAAAGTCTAATTCTATCATGAAAGTCAGGACACATCTTGAAGAGGGTAAGAATCAATCACATAATATAAGATTGTCAATACAAAACTTAATATTAAAACCATTAAAAGATGAAAAGATACATCTTACAAAAATTAAGTCAAACATACATACTACTTCAAACTTCAAAGTGCCCGTTGCACAATAGACATAAAACATGATTTCATCTAAAATTAGCAGGCACATTCTCACATCATTTTAACAATGAAAAGAAACAAACAATCACAACTTACCTAATTATAGATTTATAGTTTCACACAACTAGCAACAAAAAATCCAAAATAACAAATTATAAGAACCTAACCTAGATTCTTCAATAGAAACCCTAGTCTAGTATCTTGGGTCATCAACTCCAATAGTAGACATCACCATGGACTAAATCGAAATTTCGGTAATCCTATCTAGCTACACTTCTTGCAAAACTTCCATCGACGGATCTTGCAATACCAATCATGAAACTCAAAAGACAAAAATCAATGTTCCTAGTTTCTTGTTGTTATCAAATGGCAGCATGCAAGATAACAACACAAAGATGTCCCTTCTCGGAGAGATTGTTTGTGCGAGTGCGAAGAGAAAAATGGATGTGGGTCATGCTAATAAAGACGTTTTTAAAACCGGTTAACTTTTACATAATTCTTTTTATATCATATACAAAACCGGGTATGTGCACAACCAATTAATGTTGTATATCAATGCAATATAACATCGGTTAAAATATAACTAATTCCTTATACTATATATAACATCGGGTTAAATGCAGCGATCCTAAAAAATTGTAACATTATTTAAAAGAAATATATCATCCTCTTTCTTATTAGATCAGTTCCATTATAATCAATGTTAAAGGTTGACATCGTATCTTATTTTTTTTACTAGTGAACAATTAAATCATTTAATTTCACATATTTTGGTGTAAAAATTTAATTAGTTATATTTATATTGCAATTTTTGTTATGTTATTAGATAATCATAAATTGTCATATGATAAGATTATAATTTATGACAATTTATACTGTGTGGCTAGCTACAATGTGGACCTTATGGAGGTACAGGAATAAGTGTATCTTTGACGGCGGAACATTTGAGCAAGGTAGTATAGTTAGAGACATTCTTATTTTTTGTTGGAGGTGGCTATCCACCCTCAAACCATCCTTTGCCTATTCTTTCTCTCAATGGAGTAGCAATCCTGGGCCATGTATTTGTTTCAACGGGTGTGGATAGGGTAGCAGGTTCTGATTATGAGGAGATAGAAATGTACTAAGTATTTCTCTATAATCCTGGAAAACTCTATACTTTGTATATGGGTTCAGGTACCCCTTGTACCTGTTATATATTAATTTTGCTGTTTAAAAAAAAAAAGATTATAATTTTTTATAATAATTATTTTAAAATAATTCTTAATTATATAATAATAAATTTAAAAAACTTAAACTCGTATAAAAATAAGACTCTTCAGTAGATTTATTCTTATACTCGTGATAAATTAT